CTAACAGGTATTAGAATTAATTAAAAGCCAAAGAAGCCAAGTTCACTGGCTCTCTCCTTCTCAAATGTCTCAAAGTACTGATATATAATGGTAACAGCAAGCAATATCCCTGTTCCCGAGCCAATTGCTCCCATGAAATCTGCCAAAACTGTCAATGCACCGATGCACATTCCTCCAAAGGCAGCTGCTGTTGGTATGTAACGATTCAATTCCTTCTGTAGATTCGAATCGCGATGTCCTGGCATCACCATTTGTTGTTCCTACGGATACAGGATAAGCATGTCAAAATCTAAAACTGCAAAATCACTTGTTATGCTGTTTAAACAGTAGAAGAACATGACTAAATTGGTGAAGCAAAATGCCCAAGGAACTCCCCAAATCAAATAAATTTGTTCTTACAGGATCAGCCATGGTTGCTTTCATTCACTCTAAAATTTTAAAAATTAGGTGGCATCTTGCATCTGATGGATCAATTTTCGCATTTTTATACAAATACTAATAAAAAAACTTTAACTACTAGGAACAAAATCTTATAGATTTACAATCAACAGGAGTTACGTTGAAGAATCAGGAAGACCTAATAACCCAGTATGTTAATAGACAATAAAATATCTATCTTAATATACCTTGAGTTGCTTAGCCACGTCTCGGGCAGACGACCCAGAAACTTCAATCCAAGTTTTTGAGAAGAGTGCACAGGCTGAAAGCATAAACACCAGATAGAAAAGAGCATGGAAGGGATTGGCTGCCATATCTGCCAAGCTGCAATTAAGATGAAAACAACACATCAGTGCTAGAAGACAGGGAAAATTGAAAGAAGAGAACTGACTACGGAGCACCAACAACAACAACAGAGCATTGTGAATTCCAACATAACAATCAAAGAAAAGACATACTCATGGTAAAGAAACAAATAACTTCACCTTGCTGGTGCAGTGATATAGTAAGCAACACCACCAACAGGAACAAACTGGCCACCTGAATATTCAGATTCCTTCCATACCCCCAACAATTTGACAAGGAAATTTCCACTGTACTTCCTATACAGCAACTGTACAGCAATGCACGATGTTATACTCTCGGAAAACCTTAAAAACTGATCTTCTAACCACAGCATACACAAAACAACTCTGTACCTGAGAGATAAAGTAAAGATTGGAAACGAGTGCAGATTGGAGAATAATTGGCATGTTGGAAGTATAGAATAGCTTAATCGGATAAGACCCCTGTTGTCCACGGGCATTCTTTGATCTCACGGGCAAAACAACTCGAAAACCTTGGAAGTAGATTACAATAAGGAAGACTAAGACTGTGGCAAGCAAATTCGTAACGTTGGGAAGATTCTGTCGATAGAAAGCCTCTTTAAGAGCACGAACTTTGTCTGACCTAGTAATCAGCAGATGGAACAAAGCAATAACAGCACCTTCAAATTCAGCTCCCCGGCCACTGTTAATAGTGGTCGGACTAAACGCTTTCCAGATAATATTTTCACTACAATCAACCAATCAACAAAAACAAATCAGTAAAACAAATAACAAAACAAAGTACAAAAAACCAAAAAAAATACAAAACCTACCAGATATTTGTAGCAATAAAAAGGGAAATCCCAGATCCGAGACCATATCCTTTCTGGAGAAGCTCGTCAAGGCAGATAACAATAATTCCAGCAAAGCAAAGCTGAAGGATAATCAGAATAGCATTCCCTACACCGAGTTGGCCCACGCTACCATACATCCCAGATAAAACATAAGCAACAGCTTCACCAACAGCAATCAAAATACCCAACAATTTCTGCGCACCGTTTCTGCATACATTCGAACCAAACATAATTAATAATAATAAAAAAAAAAACTCTCATAATCTCCTAAAAATTAATTAAATTGACACAATGCAAGAGATAGAAAGAAGTAGTTAGTTACAGAAGAGCGCGATCCTCGCGGACGCTGTTATCGACTTCGATGATTTTGGAGCCAGCCAAGAGTTGCATGACGAGACCAGACGTGACGATAGGAGTGATGCCGAGCTCCATAACAGTGCCGCGATTGGAAGCGAGAATAACACGCATCCAGTAGAAGGGATCGGCACCGGTAGTAGAGTGAATGCCATAAAGAGGTAATTGACTACAAACTAAAAAGATGAAGAGAGAAATAACCGTGTAAATAACTTTCTCGCGGAATGGAATTTTCCTATCTGCACTTTGTACTTCTGGTAAAAATGATAGGAATGGTCGAACTAGATGCAGCACTCTAAATCCCCCTCCCATTTTTTACCACCTTTAAGAAGGAAAAAAAAATCAAAAATCAAAATGTGATTAGTTGTTAATTAATTTCAGATCTGTTAAACTCGACGATGCATTTCACAATTTCCATCGGTGGATTGAAACTTACGTTAGTTAAAGATTCGAGATGAGGTGAAGATGAGATGGCTGCAACGGAAAGGCAAGGTGCATTGGAAATGGAGTTGACGCAATTGAAAGCCGAAACTTCTCAAGGAAAAAAAAAAAAAATTGCAACGAGGAAACAAATAGGGCTTGATAGTTGCTGCGTCGTGGAGCGACGTGGGATTGATTTTGCTTGCCACGTGAACTAGCGAATTGGGTTTTGACGCGTGGATGAGAAAGGGGATGTTAGTTGGGCCTCGTGGGGAGATATTGGAGTTTTGATCCAGAACTCAATCAAGGATTTGGAGCCCATATCTTAAAACAAATCTTAATTATTAAAGCAGTGTCTCTTAATTATTAATTATGTAGATATTTATTATGATTGATTTTATTTTTATATGAATAGGAATAAAATTATCTAATCGTATCTCTCATCTCATTTGATGTGGTCTGCTACTAATTATTAAAGCGATCAACTTAGGTTCAAATTTCATTCACGCTACCAAAAAAGCAAAGAGATAATTATTCCTTTCTTATGTTTTTTTTTATAACCCCTTCTTATGTAATTGAAAGCCTGATAAACCTCTTATGGAACATAAAACAATGTTATAAAATTGCAATTGGACTAAAGACGAGAGAATGATCAGATTTTAGAAGAAAAAATGATGACAAAATATTAAAGATTAAAAGGTTTTTTTTAAAAAAAAAGTGAATCTGTGCTTAACCTTTTTAGGAAAAATTGTTTAAAGCTATTGGATAGCAAATGAGACATATTGCTGAAATATAGTCTATCATACACATTATTAAAATATAGGCTTAGAGTTGATCTATGGGAAGGTAGGTTGGGTTGTTAGAATTTTTGTCCAAAAACTAAAACGTGGATTGGGAATATTAGGCCCATTATTTTCAATGGCACCCCTAGTTTGCACCTTTTTTTTTTTTTTTTTTTTGGGTCAAAACGGATAGATTGAATTTCCTTCACAATCCAGTGGATGGCTATCCCACCGCCTCAATACAGGGAGAGGTGTAGAAGCCCTCCGTTGAAAATTGGCTTTATTTGTGAAACACTATTATTGCAAAAAAACATAGATAGGAGGGAGAATGTGCTTTCAATATTGAATATCGGCACAGAGTGGGGTGCATTGACACTCGAATTGATGGTTTCCTGTTAGATACATATTGTTTTCAGACTTAGGAAATGGATTATAGACCGGGGTGGAGGATACGAGGTTAGAAGCAATATTATTGCATATAATGGGATGTTGCATTGGTAAGATGGTAAGAATTATATATATATATTGTTGCATACGATCCCTTCAACATTGGATGAATAAGTTTCATTGAGGTTATCAAGTATTTTGATTATCTTATTGGAGTCTATCGAGGCGTTTTGCGCATGATACAGTTATCAAGTACTCTGTGAATTTCGGAATTGAGGGACGATGAAACGAGGACATTGAATATGGAGCGCAATTTATGTCTTGATACAATGGTCTCGATTCTTGGAGAATTCTTTGGTTCATGAATTGGCAAACCGCGGCCATGCCAAAAGCAAAGATGATCGCTTTCCACCCAAGCAACAAGGATTTAGTTTACTTGCGCTTCGATGATTTTGTCATAAAATACAGCATCATGAAAGAAGATCTGGAGGTACGAGGATCTCAATTCGTAGATCGTATTAATCTTCTCGACAAGAGTGGCAGCCATCTTTTGCTTCCATGGTGACCTAAATCCATAGACAATGCTTTGCTATAGGGTTTATTCATAAACTTGTCATGTTGTTCACTATACCAATCTTGAGTTCTTGCTGGTTTGGAGTTGGCACCATTTCTTATTCCGTCACTAGTGTTACTTGCTAAATGCCTCCAGTACGTCTTTGGATTTGCTTTATTCTTTCACATTGCTTGCAGATACTTTAGTTGGATCATGCCAACCTAAATGTTGTAGGGTAATCAAGCCTTCAGGCTATCTCTGCCTCCAAAATCCAAGACCAAGAAAAATTAATTCATCCTGTGGTTTATTTGTCGGAAAAGAATACAATGGTCTAACCATGACGGCTTGAAGGTTGGCTTAAATCATGATAGTAATTATTTCCGAGATACGAGCCACTTTGACATATGCCTTGCCTGACAATAAAAGAAAGTGTACCTTGCATGCTGACAACATAGATATTTCTTCATCAAGGAGACATAAGAAAGAAAAATATGAAACAAAGTAAATCGCTTCTCTCCAGAGTCATTACTTTGGTTAACTGTTCTTCACTATGGTCCAACTATGACGTTAGTCAAATCTGCATCTTCTTGCCCTCCCGATAACATCATTAAAAATTAAAAGCGAAGGGGAAGGCAGCTGGTACTTCAAAAGTAGCACCTTGATTGAACATTGGTGTTTGATCTAAATCTAAAGGAGCATATATGATATGAGATGGGCACCACTACGCTATCCTACCCTCTGACCTTATCACTAAACATTTGATTCAAAAAGGGATCCATACCAACACAAAATTATAAAACTTATACACCCTCTTGGTCCCGTGTAATGTCAACTGCACATGGGTATGCCAACCACCATTGTGAAACCTTTGATTAGTACTTCATCTAATTCAAGGTTGTTGGTTGTCTCAAGCTGGCAGCTGAAGCTTTGCATTGTTTTTCCAGCTGGAAGAGGAGAAAAGAAGAGAAATTATTTGACATGTGCTCCATGGTTATAGAAAGAATTTAGAGAATTGTCATTCTTAGCAGGAATATTGTCAAACCTAATGAAGTAGTAGTAGAAGAAATCTGCATAGAGAGCTGTCTGAACAAGACCAGAAATGCAAGCTGCAAAATAATCGAAAGGAAGATGGAATTCAGAATACATCTATGATCATCAACAAACACACAAAGTCCCATATTCTCATGGTTCTCACAAAAGCTTACCTATCCATCGAGTAAAATGCGGGTCTGTGAAATAGCGGTAGATCCAGTTCAAGATGTAGAAAGCACGATAAGCCCTGCAAGTTGAAGATATTTAGGTTAGTATATTGCAACACTGAACCAAATTATATGCACAAATAGGACAAAGAAACGAGTATTCTAAGCATATCCCAGAAACAAATATGAATGGATGTTCTAAGTTCAATTCTACTGTGACCATGCCTTTATTAGTCTCTTCCTTATCTGCTTAGGAATCCATAACTGCAGAAATCAGATAAGCCTAATTTTTGGAAAAGGCTAAGTTGAATTCCCTGGTGACAATGCACATAGCACTTATAGCTCATGTGAACTATAGCACATAGAGACACTGGTTATTCCAATGAAACCTTACTCAACCCAGATGTGCCTCGATTCTAAAGTCTAAAACAGTCGGCCTACATGAATCCTCTCACAACATTTTGTTCCATACAAGACATTGCTAACTCGAGTTCATTGTGACTATAGTTTTAACAAGCTATCAACATACTTCAACCTTCCTCTCGTATCCAAACCTGGAAGTATTCATGATATCTACGCACCTAAAAATCCAGAAAATGAGAAAAGAAAATAACAAGCCATTGAATTAAGGGGATTGAGATTGGCTTCTTAACCACTATCTGTTCTCCCACATAATGAAACAGACCTTAACTATTTAATTATCTGCTGGGTGACAGCATCTACACTAGTAGAGGGGAAAAAACCTTTTTGGAAAACAAAAAATAAAGTCACGATGGATCTGCTGATTCAATCAGTACATATCTATTCAAATCTTGGAAGAAATCTTCCACACTCAAGATGCATCAGAATTTCAATAAATAGTTCCTCAAAAGGTTGCTATTAGAGAAAGAAATGTGTAGAGACATTAAAATGCATCTCCAGTTCCAATATGCTATCAAAGGGTCAAGATGAGGAAAATATATTTAACCAAGTCATAACTAAGAACAAAAGGTGTGTGGTTTAAATATGAAGGCATTAGAATGTGTTCATGCAAATTACAAATCTGAATCAGCCAGAAGACATTAATATTAAGAAAACAGAGACTTGTATGCCAGAGAATACATAACAAGAACCTTCAAAATACCTTTGTTCTTGATTAGTAACAATCATGAGAAACAAGATTAGTATTGCAAGTCTTAAAACACAAGATGAGACTATCACCATAGATGTACTGAGATTTTATATTCCATCAATAGTTAGGTGCCAAAAAACAAGAATAGCATATGACATGCAATAGGGAGTTCAAGCTCTTGAGGGAAAAGAGAGAGAGAGAGAGAGAAATAAAAACAAGAAGAAGAAGAAAAGAGAATTCAGTACAATATGTAATGGACACCAAATAAATAATTAACATCCTGCAAAAAAAAAAATTGATTGAGAACCCTGCAGCAGTGCTAAAATTATACAGGTACATACCCAAGAAAGAAAACATATTGTCCTGTTAAATTATCCACGTTCCCACTCCGCTGCAGCAATACTAGCTGGGGAAGAATTGCTACTGCTTCCAAGTATATTGAAAATGCCCAGAAGATCTGCAAGAATGCAAAAAAGTTATAAAAAGGTAAAGTGGATGATATATACGATTTGAGAATGTGCGGGGTTGACTGATTGAACATGTAAGCAAATAGAGTTTGGAACCTAAAAATGATGAGGATAAACTTTTTCTTTTACATACAACAGGAAATTATTAGTTAAGAATGAATATGCATGTTCAAACTTGACTTGCACATGATGTATATATCATTATATAGGACTTCGCAAAAAGAGCAGATCTCAGATGAACTTCAGGCAGAACTATTTACCCATCAAATTTAATATATTTTTTTCAAGTAAAATCATTCCTCTGATATACTGAAGTGGCTCAATAGAAGTGAGCAAAGTACTTAGCAACCTCAACGGTATCGATAGAGCACATAGGGTGGTGGAATAAGAGCACTATGAAAAATCAATGGTATGCACCATGAATAAATCATTAAAGGCAGAGACAACAGGAAATCCTCCAAACAACCATTAAAGGTCAGTAAATAGAGAAAAAAGTCCTTGTAAATGGCAATACCAATTACCAAGTACAGGTCTTAAACTACCCTCAAATGAAATGTAATCCAAAATAAAGAAGAAAACCCTCTATGTTTAAATAAAAAGAATAAAGCAGAAAGCCTTGAAAAATGAAATGAACTTCACCAAGGAAGTTGATACTCCCGACATACTAACATGCGGATAAAGTGAACTGATAAAACACCACTTACAGAATCCTAATTGCCTAGTTGCTGATTCTTTACCCTTAAGCATGATTATCTGCTAAGGTAATAGAATTAGGTTCTTTTCTTAGCTTCTGGATGAAAAAGTTTTAAGGCAGCGACACGATGACTAAAGAAAGAAATTGAAGTAAATTCAGCATATCCTTTCATCATAAATTCACCCACTCTTCCTCCCTAGCTGCCATTTATTTTGCTCTCTTCCTCTCTCTCTCTCTCTCTCTCTCTCTCTCTCTCTCCACATTGTTTCCATGCACCTCAGTTCCTTCAACTTCACCAACTTAATAAAAATATTTAAAACCATGCATACTAGCGGTTTTAAATTGTTCTTCACAGAATAAGATTTACATGTATATTGGTAAGTTCTACTCAACCGCCCACCCACAAGGAATTATTGTAAAAAGATGACATAAAATTACAAGTGTTCTGCCATCAGCACCCAAGTCTTTCCAAATACTCGAACCAACAAGCACCCTAAACTAACTGAAACAGAAAAGATATCGCAAATTCAAAGCCAAAACGATGCATATATGCACAATTAAACCACCAATTCAAAGCACAACAACAGAAATGCACATTCCACGGCAGTAATTCGAATCAAGCAATTACTAATTCAAATTTTCAACAATGCTTAAACCTCTTCAAATGTGAACTTCTCGTGCACGAGAAGAGCCAGAACAAAGCTTGCAAGAGCGAGGAAATGATGGCGAAACGTATCGAGATCTTTATCGTAAGAACGCCTGACAAGAGGGTGCTTCCTCATGCACCACACGATAGCGAGAGAGCTGGCTATAAACACCAGCTTCATAACAGTATTGTAGACTGAAACAAAGTCGGTGAACAGATCCAAATACCGCGTCAAAAACACCAACGCATATAGCTCCTGTGTCTTTAGCGAAATCCCTTGGGGAAAAAACAAAAATGTATAAAAAAAATCAGTTGCGTGAATGATTTGAATTTCAATTTTGGAGGAAATTGAATTGAAATGCGGTGCTGATTATAGTTTGATTGTTTGTTTACCTGAACAAGATTTGGTAGCGTATATTTTGAGGAGGAGAATTAGAATACTTATCAAGTGCGTCATGTCACCCAGGAATCTGAAGATATTCATCTTCAAATATCAAAATTACTACCAGGGGCAGATTTTATTTGATTTTCAGAGAGAAGTTGAATCAAATTCAAGGAGGTTTTTGTTTTTATTTTTTTCTCAAATGAGAGGGAAGGAGTAACAATTAGGACAGAGGGGATGGGGACGGGGATGGGGGAAGAGGTAGCGGAAGACGTGGAAGTTGGGAACGGGTTTCGTTGCCTTCGAGCACGAGGAATCGCTTGATGTTGGGCGGCCTTTTTTTTTTTTTTTTTAAATAATTTTTAATGCGTGGAGTCCAGGTTTTTGGACACTGATGCAACAACTTTTTTTTAAATAATTTTTTTTAAAAAAAAACACACACACACACACACTCTCTCTCTCTCTCTCTCTCTCTCTCTCTCAAGATGCAAGCTTCCAATTTCAAAATCTAGCCTATTTGTTCTTATTTCTATACAAGTAATCACGTGTTCTATGTCAGGATTTTTTAATTTTTTATAATAGATAACACAATGCAATCCACGTTATTTTGTTACCAATTTTTAATTAAATTACGTTATGTAAGACATTTTAATCTTTCAATTGTGTAGGTATATGAATCGAATCAAAATAAGTTCCTAATGTAAACTAGTATTATCCTTAATGATAGTTTTTGGTATTTTATGTTGTAAACAAATCAAATCAAATTAAATTAAATTAAACAAGTTATAATAGGAGTAGAAACTTTGGTAATGAATCATAATTTTCCAAACGTCTTGGATTGTAAGAACAATAACTCAAAATAAAAATAATTTAAATGAATAGCTTAGCTTTTCTATTATAATGTATAATAACAAAAATAAAATTAAACTAAAAGCTAAAGAATTCAATAATCAAAATATTAAGATCTACGAGTCTGCAATATGAATGAAGATCTAGCAATTATAAACTTTGTAGCTATTTGGTTATCAAGAATTGAATGATAGAAATGAGAAATAAAGTTTTATTCTCACTTTATAACTTGATTCACATGTACAAGATATGAATAAAAATAAGAAATAAGAATGAATTTTTTTAAAAAAATAATAATACATTATTTTTATTTATTTTATATGTTACCACCTTCACAATCGCCATTATCATCTTTATTTATTTTACTATCATTATAGTTGATAAAAGTAATTTTTTAATTATTATTTTTATTTGTATTAAAAATCGAATATTAAAAAATTTAAATTTCGTTCGTTTCATTATTAGTATTCTAAACACGGTATGAAAAAGTAAATATCATTTCAATTACCTATTTTTCATTATGATTTTTGTATTTTGATTCCAAACCTTTCATTTGACACTCTAGACATGACAAATAGTGAAGTAACTAGAAATGATAATTATTGTTATCATAACCATAAATTTACCCTTTTTTTTTTTAATCATCATCATCATCATCATCATTATTTGCATTATTTAAATTTATAGGTTGAGCATAATTTATCCTTCATTTTTTGAAGAAAAAAAAACATAAAATTAGTCTAATTTTTTTCATTAAAAATGAAAATACAAAAAGAAAAGAAAATACAAACATGATTACTTGTTGGAACAAAAAAAGAAAACCATAATTAGGGGTGTAATTGAACAAAATAGAATTTGGAATTGAAAGGAAACATGGAAGCAATTGAAAGAAACAGAAACTATAATCAAGGGACAATTGGGGGTCCAATTGAACAAATTAAAAGAAATAAAACTACAATTGAGAGAGAAGGGGTATAATTATGAAACATTGAAAGAAAAAAGGACCAAACTAGCATGTCAAGGGGTATAATTGAATAGAAATTAAATTTCCCAACGATAAAAATTGAAATGAGTAGCGAATGATAGGACCAATTCTGAAGTTTTCTGGAACGACCTTTCGTTCGTTTTAACTCAAATTCACTCCCTCCCTCCAATGCTGTTTATCGTCTTCCCTGAAGACAAATTCCCAATACAAACAATTCTAGCTGGCAGTTGTACCAGCCAGGAATTGTGCTTCAAATTCCTGGAGTTTGCAACCAAACTTGAACAAAAACTACCTGCACACACATATCATACCCAGTCTTTTCCAAAATCACACAGCGCACAAACTCTCAAAATTTGCAGAAGCGTTTGGTTTTTGGTTTTAGTGGGAAGGGTCATGATCGATTAAGTAGAATCCTAGGGCTGAGGAGGATGAGAATTCGGGTATAAATACACCTCAATTCTGGGTTTATATGGAGGATATTCTGGTGTTAGAAAAAAGGATTTTTTTGTAGTTTTAAAAAGAGAATTTTTCTGGGTTTCCATTTTTGGATTTCAAAGCATCCTGGGTTTCAACTAGTCTCTGGGTTTCCATCTTTGTAAATCATCCCTGCAAAGCCACCCCCACTGCATCTGCCAAACCAACACAAGTTACGGTCCAAACCATTCATCTTTTTTACTTTTGCTTTGTTAATTATTTTTCATGCGTAAGGCTACTGTGAAGCCTCCCTAGGATTTCAACACACAAAGCTGAAATTTGTGGCTTCATGGCTTCATTATTTCGAGCCTTGGGTTTGGTTTCTATGTTGAGAGGGAAGTGACGACAGGAAGGAGAGAGAAAAAAGAAAAAAAAAAGGCTAGGCTAGGGAAGAAGGAAAAGAAAGGAAGCAACAAGCTAAGCTAGGGCTAGTTCGGCCCAAAAAATGAAAGAAGCAAATGGGCTGGGCTGGATGTAGAGAAGTCTAGAAAGAAAAGAAAAGGTTTAGGGCTTTTTCTGGGCTGTGGGTCTTGGGCTGGTCAAGAGAGATTTTGGGTCATGAAAGGGGGAAAAAAGACAGGCTTGGGCTGCTCTGGCGACAGCAGGTATACATCCCCCAATGGGCCAAAGACCCAATGGACTTTTAAATTTTTTAGCACTTATTTTAATTGGGTTGCCTTGCTTAATTTGATGTGAAATTTTTATATGCATTACATGTGGTAATTTTTAGTATAGGTTTAAAATTTCAGAATGTTTGAAGCTTATTTACCCCTTATTTTGAATTTATTTAATTTTATGTCTAGTTATTAATTACTTTGATTACCTAAATTTCAGTTTACCCTATTGTTTAATTTTATTTAAATCTGGAATTTTTTGTATATGATTGTATGCTTATATATAAATTGATGTTAAATTTCTTAATTTTGTGAATTAATTTCCTATTTATTTAGCATTAGTCTTTTTTATGGTTCATTATTTAATATTTGCAAGTTTAATTATGTAATTAATGTGATGGCGGATTGTCGAGTCACCTAAATTCTAGGGACCGATGTTGATCCTCCATCAAATTCATAATAGTGAAAAAATATCAAAATAAAAAATAAAATGATAATTAAAAAAAAAGGTAAAAGAACAAAAAAAGAGGAAGAGAGTTTTAAGCTAATTTAACGTATTCTATCCGATAGAGACAAATGTTATTAAATCAATCATCCTTAGTAATTAGGTGATTCTCCAACATATCGATTATGTCGAGATTAAAATCGAATCCGATATTGAATTGACGAAACTCTCGGCATAAGATCCGATTATTAATTCAATATAATGCCATAATAAAAAATAAAAATAATAATAATTTGTCTTAGACAATAGGTAAACTTGGAAATAAACTGCGAAATAATATGGTAAAAGATAATTTTAGGAGATATAGATATATCTTATGACTAACCTAAACATGGTATTTTTTTCTTAAAAATGATGTCTTTAAGTGATCAATATCTTTTCAAAGACATAACTAATTCCTTACCTACGGTCTTTAAACCTAATGCCTTTTCTAGTTTCTTAGTTTCCTTTAATACAAGTAATGACTCCAAAATATAAATTAACTCACGTCCCCGATAAAATAAAATAGAAACAACAAAATAATAAATAATTTTTAGAAGTCCCCGAGAAGGAAAAAACTTGCTACGAAGAAGAGGAATAAACAAAAATTTTTGTTTTCCTTCGATCATAGGTCCTAAAATCATCGTTGAATCAAACAAATTATAATAAAAAGTTTCATTCATTACCTCTTGAAGCGAAGTCATGAGATTATGGATTGAACCATCCAAGTTTTTGATCTCTAGTGGTAATCCACCTAGCTTTGGACACCAACACAGGGAGGCGACAATCCAGGATTACTAGCTTTACTTTTCTTGAACAAGGAAGAGAATTCCACTTTTCTTTTTTTAGTGGGGTTTCATCGGCCTTGCTCTAATAAAATAGAGGATGCCTTGATGTATATATATTTATTCAAACCCTAATTTGGGTTCTTCTTAAAAGACCCTTTATAGGCTTTCATTAAAGCATATTGGCCCAACACCTTAGGTCCAATGACTAACAATAGATCGATTATACAAAAAAGTTAGGCGAGTATTTTTAGGTAGATTAATTTACAAAGGTATCCTTACTGAATTTTGAAAAATAATTTTTTCAAAATTCTCATAATTCTTAAAGAATTAAAATCAACTATTTTAATTCCCATTTTCTTTATAATTGTTTGCTCTTTTTAATCGGTGTTAGTGTTAAGTTTTATGAGTGCGACTTATTAGGCTTCTAGATATATTGGCAATGTATCAAGAAACAAAAGATGATTCTTTTATCTCTCGATACATAAATGAAGATTGACTTCTAGTAAGGCATCATGACTACCCAATTGTCACGAAAGGATTCTTTAATGCTAACTGAATAACCTTTCATACATTCAATCACCATGTCAATTTGTCATAAATGTGATATCGAATTTAGTATGGTGGTTGTTCGATTATGATAACATAAGTTTTTTTATCTTTGAATATTTTAGCTCTCAAGTAAACCAATCCATGCTCTATTGGTGTACTCTCACTACGGGCATAAATTCTTGAGTAGATATTCACCGAAGTGTAATATGAAAACTTCTTTAGCATATAAGGAATGACATTTCCTATCTTAATTATCCATTTATCTTTCTTAGATTCATGATGTACCCAATGAATCATCCACATATAGCTCTTTACTAAGCTCATTGTAATGA